CCGTGTCCGTTACAGTGGCACGCACTCCCGTCGTTAGGGTTTATGCATCCCCTTTCCGCGGCTAATGATAGATGTGCACATGAGTGAGTTATTGTTAAGATTAGGAGATGTGACATGATGATGATTGATTTATATTCATACTGCGACCATACCATCTTTACATGTATTAATTATGTGCATAGTGGTGAGTACACTTTTCATCTAGTACTCATCCCCACCTGCTCTTTACCGATGCAGGTTAAGCAGTGGTCGGATGACGGGGCGAAAGACGAGTGGTGGTCCGTTATGTGTTTATTTATGCTTCCGTTTTAATAAAATGATCATTATGAACTTTTGTTGATGGTTGGGATATCGTTTTCGAACTATGGTGTTTGAATAATTTGGTAATCACTTTTGAACCTTGGATAATTATGGTGATTGATTTGGATATTCCATTGTTCATATGAGATGTGTATCAGGTTAATGAAAACCTTGCGAAAATCGGGTTTATGAATCCCCGTGAGTCCAGACACGACTTGGACTAGTTAAATTGTGATAGTTAACACCCACTAAATTTTCAAAAATGAGTTTGGAAATTTTATACTGGATTTTGAAAAACCCAAAATTCCTTTAAAATCAAGTGGGGTGTTACAGTTTGGTATCAGAGCCAGTCTGCGTTTCTGTAGACTGGCACATATGTGATTATGTGTTTAGACCTTGTGTTATGACTACTCGTCTCCGTCACTCCGCGCTGCTTAAGGTATGATTTGTTTAAGTATTAATGAAAATACTTGTTTTGTAATTGATGCACTTGTAGTAATGAAACTACTCGTGATGAACTTGTGAGATGAACTTGTTATCTATGGGGCTTAGGATCTATCCACCTTGATTTAATCGAACTCTAGTGTTTGTGGCGAACTCTAGACTTCTGATGTATTATTGTTTGTTGTTCTGTGCTAACTTTGCTCGGCCTATTCAATGTAGAAGTATGAATACCCGCAACAACCGTAATCGTCAGCCATCCCCATCTCCTTCTCCTCCTCGTCGTCAGCACCAGGCCCCTCCGGCCATGGACCTCGCGCAGCTGATTGTTCAGTTTCAGCGCATGAATGCGCCAACTTTCTCGGGGACAGAGAACCCCACAGTTGTGCTTGAGTGGATGAAGGAGTTGGACAAAATCTTTGCTGTACTTCCCCTTCCCGACTGTCAGTGCGTGTCTCTTGCGGCGTATCAGATGAAGGAAGACGCCTCAGATTGGTGGATTGAGCTTTGGGCTCGGAGGCCCGAGGCGGAGCTTCATGCTCTCACTTGGGAGCAAATGAAAGTGATGGTGCGCAGTAAGTTCCTCCCTCAGAGCTTTTGGGACAGAATGGAGCACGAATTCTACCACTTGCAGCAGGGTAGCTCCTCGGTGGATGAGTACATCCGCACTTTCACCCGTATGTGCCTTTTTGCGGGTGATGCGGTGAACACTGATGCTAAGAAGGCCCGGAAGTTCCTCAAGGGTCTCAACCAGAGGATTCGCGAGCTGGTGGGAAGTCATGGACCCATGTCTTATGCTGATACCGTGAGCCGAGCCCAGGAGGTGGAGAGCTGCCTCATTCCGGTTGTTCCCATTCCATCCTATCCTCTTGCCTCTCAGCCTCCTCAGACTATCCAGTACGCTCAGCCCATCTCGACCGTGCCGCCCGACTCTAGTTCGGGTAAGAGGAAGTCTGACTTCAAGAACAAGGGCAAGGGCAAGAAAGGGAACTTTGGCAGACGTGACGACCGACCCACTCAGGGTCAATTGCCGAGGTGCCCCAAATGCGGCAGGTTCCACACTGGAGAGTGCTTAGCAGACCAGCGAGCTTGTTACAACTGCAACCGTCCAGGCCATTTTGCCAGTGTCTGTCCAGAGCCCAAGAAGCAGCAGCAGCAGCAGCAGCAGCAACAGCGTTTTCCTCAGCAGCAGCAGCTTCCCCCACCGCCGCACCAGCAGCAGCAGCAGCCCCCACCGTTCCAGCAGGGGACTGGAGGTCAGGCACGTGTCTATACCCTCACCCATGATGAGGCCGCTCGTAATGCAGGTACCATGTCCGG